TAATACGAGTAATAAAAATAAAATAAAAATGTTTTAACAATAACAGTCAATAAACTATATCAAGTAAGAATTCAATTCTTATTTCAAATTTAATAATGACATAAACTTTATTAATGCAAAACTCAGGCCTTAAATACATTTTTTAAATCACTAAGAACTACTATATTATCCTTTCACTACTTTATGCGCAAGGCTACAAAATGGCTTCTACCAGCCTCGTGATATAAATGTCTCAAAAAAGCCTCATTATGCCCTATATATTTTTCACGAGACATCACTATTACTCCTCTTGTTATATCAACAATAAGAGACATCTGTGTCTTGTTTATCAGGAATTTGAAAAGTGTTTGAAAAGCATTAACTAATACTAGTTGTTATTTAACACTAACAGGAGTAAAAAAACAAACTCTATAAGACTAGCAGTATTAATAAACAACTTAAAAATGCATTAAACCATATATTTTATTAATTAATACTGTTTAAAAATACATATTACTATGTTAAACAACTTATTTTATTAGCTAATGCCATTTTAAAATATGTATTATTATGTTAAGCACAAAATTATTTATTATAATATATATTTTTTAATACATTTAGCAATACATAACAAAATCTAGAACTAATACTAAATATATGCATATTTTAAATCAAATTACTTAAATTGTTTTTGCTATTAATAACAAATATAAGTGTATAAAATACTTGGTGCTTATTCTTCATAATTGCTATCATAATCATGATCGCTTTCATTATTGTTAGCACTATTTGAAGATAATTCGTTGTAATTTTCTTGATTGCATTTAAAGATTCTGCTTCCAACATCATAGAAGAACTTATAGGACCTTTTTGCAAAACAGTATTCTAAAAAAAAATAAAATAAAATATATTTAAAAAAAATTAGTAAGATTATTAATAAACAGTTTATATACATTCTCATTATTTATCAGCTTTTGATTTCACATATCAACATAATCAGCATTGATCTTAGGAGAAACATAGTCTTTATCGAATATAGTTTTTAATATGGCTTGAGTCCAAACTGCATTGGCCTGAGTATGTTCATCATTAGAAACAAAAATATACTTTATAATTAAAGAGAGAAATGTCTCAGAATTCAGATCATCTGGGTTACTAGAGTTGTATAAGTCATTGTAGCTTTTTTAGAATTTTTTTTCCATTCTAATATTTGCACTTTTAAGTTTTTTTCACTAAATAGTTTTATTCGATTAACACCAAAGGTGCTCTATAAACCTTCTTTTACACAATAAATATAATACCCTTTTTAGAGCTGAATTGCTGCAAGCATCTGTATAAATTAATTAAATAAATAAAATACAATTTATATTTAATAATTATATATAAGCATTGCAAGAAAAACTTGCAATTCTAATATAGAATTGCAAGTTTTCCTTGTAAACTTGATCAAAATAGTAAGTACTTCAAAATAAAGTTTTTTACTCCAAAATTTGTTAAATGACACCTCTTTGTCTTTTAATTTTTGTAGTTTTTCTGAACATTCTTTATCATTTTCTAACAATGTCTTAAGCTGTTTCTTTATTTGTTTATCACTAATTTGCTTATAATTATAGAATAAATCACTTGCTAATTTTTGAGCTGCATTCTATATAAAATATAATATACAGTATATATATATAATATATATAGTAAAAAACTCTTCCTGTAACACTCTACCAAAACAAGAACAAGAAAGAAAAATTTTCCCACAACAATATCTCATAAACTTACTAAGTAAATTAATAACTGGCTCTTAAGTAAAGTTATCCAGCACCCCGAATAATACCTAAAGGAGGTGTATTTTTTGGAAAAAGTTTACACTATGACAGGCCAGTAATAATAAACTCTCTAAATGGCAGAAAAGCAGTTTTTTAATCCTCCTACGAAAGCAGTCCTAAGGAACCCCAAGTTCTATATAACAAAAAGCAGCCTACAAGTAGTGCTCTAAGCAAAAACAACAAAAAGCAACAAGTATCTTACCTTAGCCAGCCACTAAACTCTGACAAAAATATGGCTTCTGAAAGCTCTTCCTCTATCTTTGGTTATTTTTTCCGAATCACAAAACCTGTGCAACCTAAAGATATCACTGTCACTAAGACGCCATCAACTCCAGGTGTAGAACACACTAAAATTTTTGCAAATATCACTATGAAAAACTGGTTCAAACTGACTTTTACTATTAGCTTCACTGTTCCTGAGCATGCTGACACTTTCCTCTTCTTTATCGATAATACCAAATCAGGAAGGAACTTCAACTTAACGCACTACCCAACACAATAGATCTGCTAGCATGAAGACCCTACCTAATCAGTTCTATTTGACCTTACTACTTTTAAAAACAACATCGTAAACATTAGTGCCAAACTTCTTAAATCTACTTGCAGTTGTGACTTTGCAACAATAACAAGCATATACGAAAGCAATATGAAACCTTATATGAAAGCTAAAAGCACTGCAGATCTTCTGTAAGTTCTGTACAACTATATTACAGAACTTGAATCAGACAACAAGTCAAACAAAAGTACTAATAAACCTGTTTTACAAAACACAGCCCCTATGGACCTTGTCCAACCTCATGACCTTGCTACAACATACACAAACACAAACACCAATATCAGTAATATCAATACTACAACAACAACAAATACACCACACGTAACCAGTATAACAGCTAACACCAACACTAACAGTACTGTAAAACCTGCCACACTGAGACCCAGCACACCCACCAACCAAATTATGTTACTAGTTATTACTAATTCTGACCCCCAATATGCACTTGCAGCCTCCATAGCAGACCCTAGCAACAACTACAAGAGGGCTAGAAACATATCACCACTAACTGCAATCTCTAATAAAATTACCAAAACACTATCAGGTGGCATTCCTACTAGCTTAAAGCTACAAACCAACAATATCAACAATAACCAAACAGCTACCATGAGGCTCTCCTACAGTCAAGTCACTAAAACCAACCTCAAACTTCTTACAATCAGCACGCCAGCAGATGATATGGAATGGGCTTCAGTAGTATATCTCAAAACTACAACATCAATACACCATTCGATACAAATTCTTGGTTATTTGACTCTATTGCAAAAGCCATAGAAACCCCGAGGGTATTTACAATTTTACCAGCCACAAGCTAGTAACAAATCTGACACAATATAAGCTCTCTGAAGCGATTGCGCTCAAATTTATTTACCAAGATACTAGATTCTTCACCACATTCACGCGTAATCCAAAAACCATACCAGCATATCAGAAAAGGTATACAAACCTCTTTGACAAAGCCCTAGCTATCTATAAAACTGAAAATGATATAACACTTACTAATACGAATACCCGCAACACCATTCATACTATACTCAAAAAAATGCTCATATCCCAATACCTCTCCAATATCAACTTCTCCAGATCAACAATTAGACAAATCCATAAAGCAATTCAATATGCCAGAGGCTTTTTACAGATCAAAAATGCCAGTGAGGAAACCTCTAAAGAGATTAGAGTACAAATCATTAAAGTAGTAGAAAATAAGCTCATTCTACTTCCTGACACACCAACACAAATCCTTACAAAAATCCAGAAAATCTTACCCTTCAACCTTCCAATCACATAGTGATCTTACACCAAAGCCATAGTAAATGCTCTACGAAGAATTTTTAAATTCTCACAACTACCAGATTTTTATTTTGTGAAACTTCCACTACTACCCTCCCACTACAATGAACTTCCAACAGATCTCTGACTACTATTCCCTATTACTCATCAATCCTCACTTCAATATCTAGGCCAATACAAGAGAAAACTCGCTAACTACTATACAGTAACAGAAATTCCAGAAGCATACTTCAAACTACTACCTCCTAAAAAACTACTGCCAACAACTTATCAAGAGCTTAACCCAAAGATTCGCAAGTTCTTCCTATTTAACCAGGCTACTTCAACTATACCACTTACAGAGATCATCGCTCTGCTTAGAGAATACTACACATTTAAATTATTACCCAATGACTTTTTTGCTACAAAACCCCTGTTACCTAAAGACACCAGCAAAATTAAAACTACCAAACCATTCAAATTCCCAATTACAGATGATGCAGAGACTAGGAAATTCATCAAACAAATCTCTCCTTATTACAAATTTCAATTTCCTCTCCCCTTAGAAATTATGCAAGCCAATCCTATAGATAAACCCAACCTACTAACTGACAAAGATATTACTGAATACTTCAATATTTCTTTGCCCATTACAACACCACAACAACTCACCACCACAGCTAAGCAACTCCACAAACACTTCTACTTTACCAAACTACCCTCTGAGTG